CCTTGACAGGCCAGTCGGCGACATTCATACCAGCCGCAAAAAAACCGATATTCCTTACGACTTCATGCCTTCCCCCTCTTCATGCCTTTTTTCCATCTTTATGGTGGGTGACCCAATGGCCTAGTCTGCCCGCTAGAATAGCAGTCAGCGATAATAGCTTTGCTGACTCTCTTCTGTTGGTGGGTCGAGCCACGCGCCCGGCCCACCAAAGCTTATCCTGTTTACTTTCGACAAAGACGTGTTGGGGATGTGGTCACCAAGTGAGATTTCCAACATTTTTCATTCCATAGTGCCCTCGATGTCATTAGTTGATGCCCTTTGGGTGTAATGAGTGACAACGTCACACAACCATCAAACATTGCCGGTAGGAATGTACAGTTGAAGAGGTGGCAGGGCATATTTCCTGATGTTGCACGCCAACCGGTTCTCGTTCTCACTTGAATCTCTATGACCAATTCATGGCGAATGTTAATCTCTTACCTCAGGCAAATATATTTATCGACTTGTTTGATCATTTGCCGTTTAACTTCTGATCGCAGTATATTCGTCCTTGATCGACTGATTTGCAGTTCGACTTCTATACTTTCACTGTCAAACTTGTACAGCAAATCTTGTAGCTGACTGGTGCTTTTCCGATAACAGTATACATGTCATCAGTGAATATTAGGTGGTTGCGCTGTTCGCCATTGATGTTAATCCTACCTTTCCAATTCATCCTCTGGAACATCATTTTCAAACAGTCAGTGAAGAGTTTTCGGAATACGGTGTTCCCTTGTTTCATGCCCTTCTTTACGGAAATTCATGTTAAGGGGAAGGTATCGAATAACATGATGTTAGTGAAGCAGCCTGAGTTCGATTCCTTTAGCAAGTCGATTTAACGGGTGTTGATGCGCTGTTCTCTCGGTGCATTCTACACTGTTTTAAACTCGACAGATTCGAAAGCTTTCTTGTAGTCAGCAAAAGCGATGCACAGAGGAAATTGATATTCCCTCGTGCGCTTGAAGAGTCGATCTGCAGTAAAAATGTTTCCGTAGCTGTTTCAGAGTAAGTGGAGTTATATTGAAACCTCTCAACGTTGGCACTTGTCTCCATCCAGGCTGGATTCTGTCTCCTGTCCTGTTTGTGTTGTGAATGGATTGAATAGTCAGGCACAGACAGAGCGACACGTGTATTGGTGTAGCAGATGTGGAGACGAGATGTTTGCTGTTTGTAAACAGCCTTGTTTTGTTAGTCTCCCGAAGCTGATCTCCGGCGCTCTCTGTAAAGGTTTGCAGTTGCGTACGACGTCTAAAAACGAAAGCGTAATGCTTCCTATTTATGCTGCTCGTTGTGCATTCCATTTCAGCGTAGAAACACTGGAACAGGTGTAAAAATTCACGTACCCCGTGCATGTGCTCGCCGGTTACGGAAAATCGGACGAAAAGATCGACCGTCGAATTGTAATTGCCAGCAATGCTCTTAAGCAAAACTGAGCCCGAAGTTGAAGCTCTCTTCGTTCAAGTCTATCTTATCCTCTATGCTTACCTCTGGTTATGAATGGTGGACCATGGCAGAAAAACTTAGAATTTGCATACTAGTAACTGAAATAGGCTTTGAGACGAATCACTGGCCTTACGTGTCTCAACCTCGTGCATCCGAGAGAGCCTTGGTGTGCAGCTGCTGCTTCTCCAGGTAGAGAAGTAACAGCTGCGATTGTTCTGACACGTCTTGCAGAAGGTGAAACAGCCACTGCTTGCTCAACCGACCAGCCAAAGACCCTGGGGACGGCCAAGAATAACCTGTTGCAAATGTCTCGAAGGACTTTGCTCCAGACTCAGGCTATCTTCTGCCGAAACTCAAACACTGGCACAGGACCAGGATTTCTGGATTCACTGCGTGACGCATCTGCCTCCGCGACCCGAAGGGGTAAGTGTCATTGAAACTGACTGACTGGCTGGCTGACAAACAGACAAACAGACAGACAGATAGACAGACAGACTGACTGACTGACTGACTGACTGACTGACTGACTGACTGAGTTTCGTTATGCCTTTGCAGTTCTAGGTTCTGCCTGTTCCCTAGAATCACCTGGTGTAAGCTTAGACTTTTGAAATGCAC